GTTTGCATTTCTGTATGCGCATCTTTGCGTGAGCAGCTAGTTAGGCGATAAGGACTTTCTGTAGATCCCGGGCAGGCGTTAGGGTGCCTAAGAGACAGAGAGACCAATAGTCAGAGAACAAGAAAGCAAGAGCACAAGGAGGCTCGTCGACTGGGCCTGAGTGAGTTAGACAAGTGAAGCGATGGTTGCACGACAACGCCAAACTAAGCGTACCAGTCCTGAATATTCCGATCTACGCCAGTTGTCTTGCCTGCTTTGATGCTCTGGTGCTTGTTTTGACGCTGCACGCCCCGTTATTGGACACCACAGACTGTCAACGCTACCGGAAACCTGCAATCCGACCGCAGATGCCAGCCACGCCTCGGTAGACCCGACACGCCAGGTCAAAGCCAAAGTGGACGAGATACAACACCTCACTGACTCGTCTTCGTGACTCTCAGACTTCGGATCTGCCCTTTCCGAGTCGGCGGAGCCAGCCAGTCGTGTGCGGACGTACCAACACTCACGTGTCATTCTTGCCTTTTGCAAGCGTCTCCGTCGTCTGTATCGACTCTCTTTCCATCTTCGTCTGCAGAAGCCGGTGTGGCACAGCCGAGCGACTGGCAGATGCGCTAACACAAAGTCACAGATTCTCCGACTGAAAGCATAAAACTATGTTTACATGTGCATTTCTGTCATCACGCCAATTCGCCCCGATCTGAGTAATCAGTGAACGTTGGGATTAGCTCCAGGATTGCAGCAAAAACAAAATGTCTATCTACTATGGTGACGACATTTCGGATGGACGAGGAGTATTTATCTTCATCAAAATCCTTGGCCGGTAAGTAAAAGGCCTGACAATGTTGAAGCAGAGTCTAACTTCGTCCAGTCTAGTTTAAACAGATTTAGGGATCGGAAGTATTATTATCTAAAGCCAAATCAGTAGGCGTTTCAATGCCAGTACATTTCACTTAACGAGAAATCTGTTTCAGGAAATGCACACCTGAGAAGTATACTTCCTGCTGACCGAAGCACATAAGGGTGTATAAGTAGGCTTGCAAAGGGAAAATTATTACTATTAGCTGCATCTTAAGGAGTTCCCGAAAGTAAACTTGACGATGCGTCAAACGCACAAATAAGTGGAGGGGGGAGAGAATTTTATGTGAAAGTCTTGCGAGTAGTATAGGAAGGGGTGTCCGAACGCAGTATTATTGATATAAAGTTGCTTAATAAAATTGAGATATTTGCTTGAATATACATTTATTGAAGTAAAATATTTCTCTAAATCAAAGGAGAAGCAACTAGGCCAAATCCTTAACAGAATTTTAGTAACCACAACTGAATTCGGGACAATGATAAAGATGTCAGGATGACTCAGTTTTAGGGGGTAGTTAAGATGAATCACTTCCGACGTCGCCTCACATTAGTAAACCGATCTAGTTAATGAGGCTTTTTGGCCTATTTATTGCAAACCTTTTGGAGGCCAGTTTGACTATATATTCCATTTCGAAGAAAAAGTTGATTAGAGGAAATTCATGAATTTAAGACACTATCTTGCAGTACAGACGGTTTGAATGAGCGAAGCAGTCTTCAGCTCAAAGTCTTGCAACTTCGATGAAGCTGTGCCAGGCTAATGACTGTCACAGAATAAACATTACCAGAGCAAAAATGAATACTCTATGAAATAGGAATATTTGGTTTTGCATTAAAATCTTATCCGAAAGATACACATTTCTCCAATCGGATAAAAAGTAAATGCAGTCGGGTTCTCATTTTATCGGACCAAAATACAATTATAATATAAAAATAATATAGAATATAAATAGAACAAATATAATATATAGTTATATAGTAACTATATATGTATATCTTCATGTCTGTATAATATAATAATTATTGAGCCTCCATTTAAGGTAAAAGTGTGTGGAGAAGAGATTCAATGATCAATCTTACTATGGAAGAACGGCTGGCTTCTCTTGGCATTGCTGGAACGTTCTAGTCGATAATGTCCTCGGGGCAATCTTTCTTGATTCTGAAAATTTGGCTGACCAAGATAAATCCGCCGTCATTTAATGGGACCGAGCTTCGAATAACTACATAAAACTTTCGCTCTAAACTTAAATTAACTCAACACTTATAAACCAAGAGAACCCTCGGGTCCCAACTTTTCTTCCGCTACACATACACACATGCGCACACACATACCTACATACAGACATACATATATATATATATATATTAATGAGAGGTGGGCTGCATAATGTCACCCTAATCCTGTTATCCACAACAACTTCAAAATACCCTTTCATCAAATTCATACAAGCCTTATTTGCCTAATTGTTCGTAACCTAAACAACTAACTCAAAGTAAGAGAGCATGACGAGATTTACCTAGGTCTGGAATAAATTCAAAGTGTGGATAGTAATTGTGTCATGTTATTTAATATTTTGTTGATTCACATTTCGTTTTATAAAGAACAATAGCTCGTTTTTGAAAACTTTCAGCCAATCTCAATGTCATATCCTTGGTTATTTCTGCCTAAGACGTTTTAATTGCATCTTTAAGTTGGCTGATATTTTTAAACTTTATTATGCCTATTAACACTCGAGTTACCAAAATTTGCAAGTGGGATGTGTTGAGGTCAAAGCCTTTATTACTAAATTGGCTATCTTCCCAAGTTATATCATCGATATGTGGAGCTATTAACGGCCGATCCCTGTCGGATAGACTGCTACATACCGAGAAAAGCAATGGGAAGACACTAGTTTTTCACTTTATTTTGGCTCTTGATGTCATATGGAATGACTAATTTTTTTCTTTTTGGATAAAGAGCTGTATGTATCCGTCTTTTCATTCCAATGAATAGGAAATTTTTAACTCGTTTGTCCCTGTCTATATATTTGTGAACTCTTTCATTCAATATATAATTGAAAACTGGGGTTCGAGAAAATTATTGATGTAATACCTTTGACTAACTTTTCATCTATTGTGAAACTGTATGAGGAAAAGATTCTTACGTTGGTCTCACAAAAAACAACGGGAAACAAGCTTTGGTTTGCCTTTTGACGCAGATCTCAAGTCACTCCCATTCAGTTTCGTTGAACTCGTGTCAAGTTTGCCTGGCTCGAGAACCTGTATGTATCGATGAAGCCAAATAACAACAGATAAATGTTTACTCATAATCGTCTTTCATTAGTTCGACCTAAGAGCCTCTAAAACGTTTTCGGAGAAAACAAAAGTTATACCAACTCTTCTTTATTAAGTACAAATAGGACCGACCCAAGTTAAAGCAACAGACACAATTATAGGACCATTTTCTCTTCTGCACTCTCGCTAGCAACACCAGCCTCTTGTTAAAGTATTTAATTACAGCTAAATGTTAATTTACGCTCATCTAACAATTAAAGTACGTCATTGATCGCTTGATGCAACTCAGACAATACCCGATAAATACTACCTGCCTCGACTCCAACAAACAGCAATCAAAGAAGCTTTAGCACATGCTTGCCCAGCCAGTACAGAATCACGGCAAATATGAGTTGGTTAAGAGACACTTTGCTTTGAAGTCAAACCGATACAGAGACCCACAGCTTCAGGGATTGTATAATCTAAGTTGGAATACTGTTTGGCGGATAGCAGAGAGCGGAGCTTCGATAATGCTATGCAGAAGATGAAGCTGGTTTTGGAAGCCCACTGATGCGAGGCTAATGGGGAAAAATCCCTTCATTAAGAACTTCTGCAAGCCCAGGTTGCTTAATTGATGAAATAGCGGATGGTGGGCAAGCCCACAAGGCTTCAAGATGTCATTAAGTTTCTCTTAGTCCTGACTCACAAAAAACTGTTTGTCCGGGCTGGACTGCAGGTTCGAACTCTCGAGGCTCTCATCAGCCATTACAACGGGATTCTAGATCGAAAAATACCCGACAAGTGGCGACACATTACCACTTCACTGGAGGGACACACAAATAGGCTCCACTGAGTCACCGGGCAGATGTAATTTTTAAGGCAAGATAAGTTGTCAAAATCAGATTTATAGTAACACAGTTGGTGAGGCAAACATGCATTACCAAATACTATCGATGACATTACTTGGCTTATGAGTGAATATATTTTTAGTCCTTCAATGAGCTGAGAAATCGTATAAAATTTTTTCATTACTCGGCTAATATTCGACTCCATTAAAGCATAATACAATTACTATCCACACTTTGAATTTATTCCAGACCTAGGTAACTATCGTCTTACTTTGAGGTAGTTGTTTAGGTTACGAACAATTAGGCAAATAAGGCTTGTATGAATTTGATGAGAGAATATTTTGAAGTTGTTGTGGATAACAGGATTAGGGTGACATTATGCAGCCCACCTCTCATTGACCTCAATGCAACAGTCCAGAGCGTTTGTCCCTCATGTGATTGACAGTTTCCAAGCCAATCTCCTACAGGTTATTGTGGGGCCAATTTACCAATCCTTTTCCATAAAAATGTAAGGCCTATTGACATTATACAGCTAAGATATCTGTCAAATTATTATTGGAAACATTATAAACCTTAAAATATAAAGGAGACAATGCTGGCCAGACCAACTAGCCAAATTCTGTAGAATTATTTAAAGTTTTGTATCGTTGATAAGTCAGCTTTGCTACCGGACTATGAGAGACCGTCTAAAAGTTGTCCCGTTATTTAGCTAAAATATTTAGATTTTATTGCATTTACATTTCATGGATAAAATGAATTCAATGAATTCTGTCGTTATTGATTTGTGGCACTATTTTAGGTTACAATAAGTTTCAGCTACGTTATATTATAATATCATAGCAG